CCTTCCCCTCATTCTTGCAGTGAGCACAAGCAGAGAAAGGACAAATCTGTTGAAACCTTTCTGACAGATCACATTTTTAAAAACTGCTGAGTGCTGGCTTTTTGATCACCTTACTGACAAATAAACCTTTGTCTCCCTTCCAATTTACAGCTCTCGGAAAAAGATAAACCCTACGTAGATATCCAGGGACTCACGGCCTCCACCATGGAAATCCTGCTAGACTTTGTATATACAGAAACTGTTCACGTGACAGTAGAAAATGTCCAAGAATTGCTCCCAGCGGCGTGTCTGCTTCAGCTGAAAGGTAATTGCCAAGTATCAGCACAAATTGCACAGTTGCTGTTGTTCGGAGATTTGTGTTGTCTGACCTGCTGTAAATGGGAGACAGACTGTGGGAGGCATGATATTTATCAGTACTTCTGTCAAACTTCTTTTGCCTTGTGCACTGTGGTCTCGTCGGTAGAGGAACTGCCTTGGGTGGGAAGAAAAGATGATAAAACAGGTTACTGGTCCATGCTTTGGGCTACTGTATTTCTGTGTGAGAATTCCCAGGAGGAATTGTGGGCTGTATAGCACGTAAATGTTAAAGCTCAGTCAACTTAGAATAATAAGCAAATCCTTGATGTCATTTGACCTGCCATCATAGTATGTCTGGGTCGTAACAAACTGGTTGATGTCATTGCACGTGCAGCTATGCAGCTATCCCAGGCAATTATCCCAAATCCCAGGCAACTATCAAAATTACATTGGAGAAAACCTAGAAATCTGGTAGCCATATCCACTAGCATACACATTTTTTGTTTATAATCCATGAAGCTGAGTACAACTCACATTTGACTCTTTTCCTACTATCACAGTTATTTAATTTTTTTAAATAGAATAGCCAGAGATCAAACCAGCCCAAACACGTGGTCTAGTGCTTAGTGTTTTCACGTCCCTCCAAACAAATATTTGCATGTGTGTGTTTCTGTAGTGTTCTTAAGCTTGTTATTTGAGTTGGATTTTCATTATTGTTTAGAATTTTCTTTTCTGAAGCCCTTTCCAAAGCAGTGGATTGATAGTAAGCATGCAGTGCTCATTCACCCCTCCAATTTTCCGTAGGTGTGAAACAAGCTTGCTGTGAGTTTCTAGAAAGCCAGCTGGATCCATCAAATTGTTTGGGCATTCGGGATTTTGCTGAGACACACAATTGTGTTGATCTAATGCAAGCTGCAGAGGTCTTCAGCCAGAAACATTTTCCAGAGGTGGTTCAGCATGAAGAGTTTATCCTCTTAAATCAAGAAGAGGTTGAAAAGCTCATCAAGTGTGATGAAATTCAGGTAAAACCTGAAACGTACCGTTACTGTGCAAAGCATTGAAGTAAAACATTGAAACCAGTCAGAAATTCGTCCATACTCCTAGGGTAGAGTTCTCACACCATTCCTGAATTTGAAGTTTAATTTTCAAGCAGCTTCTTCTGATTTTTTAGGCATATCATCTGGAATTGAGCAGTAACATGTAGCTTCTATGTAAGATTTTGTTGTCACACAAGTGTTTCTTGCAAGTAAGGCAAGCACAGTTCATTACCTCTGCAGAGTTCTTGATCCTTTGTCTCCTCCTTTCTCTGGAGAAACTTTCAGAGACTACAAAGACAAGTTGTCTCAATGCCTGCATTTCAGAAATACCCCCAAGACTTTAACTTCTATTTGTAGACCCTTGCGTGCAGCTCAGCAGCACAAGGAATGCGTGTGTCATCCCAGGCATTTGGGTGTCCTCTACTTTTACAGGCAGCAGGATGCATGATGGTGCAGGGTAGCTGGCTCTTCAGTTATATGCAGATTTTGTTCCCTTAAGGTTGGTTTCTGGAGGATTTACTATTTGGCTGGAACCTGTCAAATACTTTTTCCCAAATTTTCTATGCATAAGTATGTTCTTGAGAATTGAAATAAGTTGAACATTCCTTGATAATGGGGAGCGGACTTGGGTTTTTTATTGAGATGGACTTCATCAAGAGCTGATATTTGCTTCTGTTCTAAAAGAAGTGACTGAAGCAATCACTATTCAGAGTTCACAGTAACATGAACTCTTAGAAGCAAACCAGTGTAAGGTTCCAGTATGTCTGGTGGAATTCCTGAAAAGTCAATACAGGGGTAGCCACAGGAGAATTCTTGATGTATGCCTTGCAAGTCTGCCATGAAAGTGGCCTTCAGCCAAGCTGATGTCTTCTTCTTAATAAAGTCTGCTTGCCAAAGAGCACGCAAGAAGAAAGGAGGGTGTAGCAAGGTGGGGGTCGGCCTCTTCTCCTTGGTAACGGGCAATGGGATGAGGGGAAACGGTCTGAAGTTGTGCCAGGGCAGGGTTAGGTTGGACATTGGAAACAATTCCTTCCCCAAAGGGCTGTCAGGCACTGGAAGGGGCTGCCCAGGGAAGGGGTCGAGTCCCCAGCCCTGGGGGGATTTAACAGCCGGGCAGAGGCGGTGCTGAGGGCCAGGGTTTGGGGGTGGGATGGCAGGGGTAGGGGAATGGTTGGGCTTGATAATCTTAAAGGGCTTTTCCAACCCAAACCATTCTGTGATTCTAAGGTAGCAGTGAAAGACCCTGGCACAGGCTGAGATCAGCAGTGGAGAAAGACTGAGTGTGTCTGGTGTTTAGAAAGCCACAGCTTTAATGCTGTGAGGGTTTGAGCTCATGTGGGTTGTAGTGAGTACTGACACAACGCTTCTGGACACTGAAGAGGAAATAATGAGGAACCTGAGAACAACCCAGCCAAACTAATCAGATGATCCGCACAGGCGAAGTAGAATTCATTGTGGGTTGGAAGGACTGATGCAGGCCCTACAGACACACAGCGAGGTGAGCGTTCATTGTAGCACCTTAAGGTGAATGAAGCAAACGTAGCTGTTGCTGTGCCAGTGCAGAAGTGATGTCCTATGTCAGAGGGTACTGAGGAGCACCCTCGGAAAATCCCCCAGCTCTTCGAGGAGAATAATGGCAGGTCCTCACTGGGATGCTGTGTTCAGTGTTACTCATCGTTTATCAGAAAACAGAAATGATTTCACAAACAACAGAACTGTTGAGTATGTCAGAGGACAGCCAGGGAAGGGATGAAACCATGTGGGACCACTGCACTTGAGGAGGAGGTGGGGAAAACTGGAAACAATAAAGTACTCTGCTCTCCTTTTGTGAGCTCTGATTGTCCTTCCCCTGTAATTCAAATAGAAAGAGGCCATTTCAAATTACACTGTAACAAATACAGATCAGTGGGTTGGAAGAATTACCTTACATAAGGAACCTCTGCGGGTCCCTGCTTCAGAACATGCTGCAACAGACGGCTTCAAACTGAACTTCAAAGTCTACCAGCCATACATCGGTGGGAAGGCTCAATCAGCTTATTACCTTTTACCTCCATATTTAATGACACTTAACAGACCTCATAATAATAAATTCATGTCTGATTTGCTTTTACGTGCCAAAAGAAAACCAAACCTAAATAATATATTGTAGAACTTTTTACAATTCTTTCCCTTTTGGTAATCATAGATGTCCAAAGCACCTGAGGTTCTCTAAAAGTATCAAATGTTGATGGTTTAGTTGGTGGACTAATCCCTGGAAGTGGTGTAAGCGCCATCACGTGCCGGTCCTAAATGGAGAGAGAAATAAACTAGTCAGAACAGGAACGTTCATGCCCTGGGCTTCTCCACTCTGAAATCCAGTTCTTTATAGTTTCTTAAATGTGGATTGAAATAAAAAAAAAACTTAAATGTACCTGGTGTGGCTCAGGTGCTAGAGGGACAGTGCGTGGGCACAGGGCTGCAGGGGGTTAAGTGAGACGCTGCTCCCTAAAAAGGAAATGTGATTCTGATCATCTCTATGGTGGTACTTTGCATTTTGCAGGACCATAACTCCTGCTCTGCTGAGAAGTCGGGGGAGCTGCCCTGCGAGTTCCAGCCTGTCACTGGGCTCAGAAGTGGTGGCTCCCAGCTTCTGGCTCCGCTGCCTGCCGTCAAGCTCTCATACTGCCAGCTGTTGATCTCGGCTGTAAGGAACAAACGTAGTTTTAAGGAAAAGAAAACGAGGGAATTTCTTAGTGCTTGTAAATACAGCCCATGGGAATTTCTGTAACACACTTTTACGTGAAATGTCCTGCTCCCTTGCTAGCTGTGAAGCAGTGTCAACAGCCGGGAAGTTGTCTGTTCCGCAGCATGAAATGTTACCCTGCCGTCTGATCGGTGCGTGTCTCCTCTTCCCAGGTGGACTCTGAAGAGCCGGTTTTTGAGGCAGTTATAAACTGGGTGAAGCACTCAAAAAAAGAACGGGAAGCATCGCTGCCAGAGCTGCTGCAGTACGTGCGCATGCCGCTGCTCACCCCCCGCTACATCACGGACGTCATCGACACCGAGGTATTGGCGACCCGGGTCCCTGGACACAGAACAGCCGGGGGCTGCGTGTGATTGCCGTGTTCCCTGGTTAAACGCCTGCTGTCCTAACAGAACATGTTAAAAGCTGCTTTCTCTGCTGATGCTTTTTGATGGTGACACTATGGAGTTGTCCCTGTTCAGCTGGAGTGCCCCCTGTTTTACTTGCTAGTAGTTTGCTGTGCTGGCAGTTACAGCATCCTGCCTCTCAGCGGGGAGGGCGCCCCATCCAGACCCAGTCAGTTGTCTCCTGGTATATGCAGCACCTTCCTGTTGTCATCTCTTACTGTTTTCTAACAAGTGCTTTCTGCCTTTCATTCGCCAGTCAGAGCCGTACTTCACGCCACTTCTTTGTGGGGCTGGGGTGTCACAGAGGCAAACCAGAATGTGGATGATGATAAGAGATAATGAAGCTTTTGCAATGGAAGTTTAATTCCAAACAGAAAGTGATGCTGACCCCATGCAAGGTTTGACAGGAAGGCACAGAGGAGTTCAAACCAGAATTCTGGTAATCGGTGGTTCCTAGCCCTTGTCACCTGGCAGGTGCTGGATGTTGAATCACAGACTCCTCTGCGCAGAGAAATGGCTGATTTGGCAATGTTCATCTCTAATGTGATACAGCTGCCTTTTACGGATGTTCTTGAATAAGGGCAGCTGACAGGCAGTAAGTTGTGCCAGAGCTATAATGTGTTTAGGCAGATTGTTGTGGTCCACTTGAAACTGAAACTGAAGCTAATGTGAACGGGACTGGTACCAAAACAATGAGGTCTGTTCCCAAACCAGCCTAAGATAGTTGTATACAGGGCCTCAGCTTTCTTACTGCACAGGATGGCCTCTCCGGACTGGAGGTGACACACACTGGTGGGATACCATCATCCTGGGACAGCGTGGAGAGTGTTGGCCCTCTGTGGCATCATCTGCTCTGAACACCCTGGCCTTCTTGCACAAGCACCAAGAACTTGTAAAAATAAATCTTAACTTAGGGCAGCAGCAACTAGCACCAAGCACCCAAAGGGAACCAAAGGCTGAGCAGTTGAGGGAGGCTGCCCAGGCCCTCAGCCAGGCAGGGTGATTACGTGGCGTTATGCAAGGAGATGAGACTGTGCTTGGGCTGCAGTGTCCCCCGCTTCTTTTAAAGACCTTTCTGCTTCTGTAGTCTTTTCATAGCTCCACATCCCATGTGCACTGGGATCAAGCTAATAGATCCAGCAAAACTGCTCCGTTGTGTTGTGCTCCTTGTTTATTCTTTGATGGCAGGTGTGTGCTGAGAGCTGATTACGTGGGGCAGATCCAGCCAAACTGATTTCAGGTGTAGTTTCGCTGCCAGTCCCCCATCTCAGGCACGCCTCCACTGGCTTAAATGTGGCAGAAGTAGCTTTTCCTTAGTTTTCCGATATAGTTATTTTCGTTATGGAGCCTGCAGTGCCAGACTTTGCGTGAGAACTGAGCCGTATCTTTTCAGCTGCGGTCCAGTCTGACGTTGTCCTTGCATTTCCCCGCGTGCCGTATTTGCACCATGACACGACCAGCCACAGCCTGCGCACAAGTCATTTTAATGCTGTCTGAACTGACGAGAGTTGGCTTTAGGACAGTACTTATGAGGGATCTTAAAATACATTGCATATACCAGTGACTCATGTTTTCCCTCAGCCTTTTATACGATGCAGTCTGCAGTGCAGAGACCTCGTAGATGAAGCTAAGAAATTTCATCTTCGACCCGAGCTCCGGAGTCAAATGCAAGGACCCAGGACAAGAGCACGTCTAGGTGAGCAGCAAAGGAAAGGACACTGAGAAGGTCTGGGGCATTGGCAGGTATTGGATTATACACCACGTCTAGTGCCTTGTAACTGCGCTGAAGTGCTTCACAGCCGTAACCTGCCGACCCACAGTCCCCAGTGGTACAGAAAGGGGACTGGAGCAGAAGACAGAGGAACCTTTTTTTTCAGTGCACAGTTGCTTAGTGGCAGTGTGGGGACTAGGTGGTTGCCTTTAATCCCTGGCCTCTGCTGTAACCCTAAAAGCAGTTTCCTGAGTTGTTGGTGCCTCCAGATACGTTTGTCTCTGCATGCAGCTGCCCAACAAGCATGGGAAGAGTTTCCTCCTGGCTCAAAGGCAGGTATCGGTGTCAGAAACAAAAAGAGCTGTGAGGTGAGAGACAGCGGTGTTGCAGTGAAGACGAGTTTTCAGCAGGGAATCTCAGAGGGGAAGGCACAAGGAGGGAGATGGAGAGGTTCCTCTTCCCTCTCAGAGGTAGTTTTTTCCTTCCCCTCCCCCAGGCTTGTTAAGGCAAATAGGAGATGATTTCTTCCTCTGTGTCAGTGAGTCCTACAAAGCAGTTGCTGAATTGCTGAGAAAACTCTTGGCTTAGGGCTGTAAGCACTTGAGAGCAGCATAAACAGTAGGAATGGCCCACAGAAGGAGGAAAAGTATTTTACTGGTTTCTTCTTCTTACTTTCCCTCCTGTGCGTTCTCCAGTGCTGCTGCTTGTGGAGGGGAGAGGGACCCTGAAAAACCCTTCATGGCCATGTCCTGTTATTAACACTATTTTAAGGGACCAAAAGCAGCTTATATCCACTAAAGGAGGAGGACAAACTAGGTTGAGGGAGACACATTGATCCGTTGTTTTGGCCTTGAAGGGAGTGTTGTTATGGTGTGATTTGACACCCAGTGCAGTCCAGGCCACAGCACGTCTCCTGTTTTTCTGGGAACATCCCACATCGGTGTCAGCGACGTGCATTCAGCTCACCCTGTCATTTTAGAAAGACACATTTCGTTTTGTTCGTAGTTGAAATGCTTCACCTGATAAAGGAGACATAATAAAACTGGTTTATTGTTTAATTACACAGGCAAGAACTGTGCACCTTGTTGCATCTTCTAGATTCAGCCCTACCCTTTTTAATTGATCCAATACCATCTGCTATCAGCAACGCTCTTGTCATGTGTCTCTCATAAACCGTGATCTGGTTTCTTTTTGGCCTTGAAGGGAGTGTTGTTATGGTGTGATTTGACACCCAGTGCAGTCCAGGCCACAGCACGTCTCCTGTTTTTCTGGGAACATCCCACATCGGTGTCAGCGACGTGCATTCAGCTCACCCTGTCATTTTAGAAAGACACATTTCGTTTTGTTCGTAGTTGAAATGCTTCACCTGATAAAGGAGACATAATAAAACTGGTTTATTGTTTAATTACACAGGCAAGAACTGTGCACCTTGTTGCATCTTCTAGATTCAGCCCTACCCTTTTTAATTGATCCAATACCATCTGCTATCAGCAACGCTCTTGTCATTACGATTCTGTGATTCTGTGATTCTGTGTGATTCTGTCATGTGTCTCTCATAAACCGTGATCTGGTTTCTATGGGATGAACTGAAACAATTGCACTTTTAGCTGTCATTGTACAGCAGGCCTTCCAAGTTGTTGTTGGAGCTCTTTTGTGAATCCTTCCCAGTTAGTCTCACTGCCAGGCACCCTGGAAGAGTTTCTCTCTCTTCCTCCCTGCTGAGGATAGAGGGAGTCCAGGAGACTGCACCCAGGTTAGGTGCCAGCTCAGAGTAGTGATGAAAACAGGGATTTAGAGGTGACTTGTTGCACCAAGGAAGGCTCAGAGATTCCCTTGAGGTGACCCCGTGGTTGTGAAGGGATTGACTTGACTTTGCTCTCCCTCTTTGCTCTAGGAGCTAACGAAGTCCTGCTCGTGATCGGCGGCTTTGGCAGCCAGCAGTCACCTATTGATGTCGTGGAGAAATACGACCCGAAGACTCAGGAGTGGAGTTTCTTGCCAGTAAGGGACCATTTTTGGCCACCACTGGGTGGAACAGGCTATGATCAAACACTGGTCCCATAGCATCAGCTGTATAACCTTCCTCTTTGGGCTGTCCTTTGTGTTCTGCTTAGAATTTCTGCCATAAATTCTTTGGAGTTGCTGAGGTTTACATAGCGAACGCTGAAACCCCTTCACATTTGCAGATTTGCGAAGTAAGCTTTGTGTAAGAGGTGGCTGTCATATCTCTAATCACATGAGCCTACAGAGACCCACATCTTTGTGGTGGGAGTGAGAGCTATCACGTTTCTTATTGAAGGGGTGTTAAGCTTTAAGGTTAGTGATGATAATTGAAATGTCAATAGGAACAGTACAATCAGTCCTGCTTTCAGGCAGGCTGCGTGATCCCTCTGGTTTCGTTGTTTCTGAGCATAACAGGAGATAGTAAGGAAGAGAGAATTCCTGCACTGAGGCTACTTCTACCCAAATTTTAAATCACCTTTATCTGGGTGAAGTGGTGGAGAACTGCCTCTTCTTTAATGTCGATAATCACAGAAGACCCTGTGTGTCCCAAAATTCTGTTCTTTTTTGGAGGATAAAAGCTTCAGGTATTCATCAAATATTCCAAATCTCCACATTTTCCCATTAACAGTCTCTGCAGGGAGCCAATGAGAGGCACACAACCCCCCAGGATGCATCAAAGATTCAGTAGTGGCGTAAGATAAATGACACTTAATGGAAAATATTTTAGTGCAAGGAGGCCTGGCCACAAGAAGAGAGCATGGCAGAGGTGGAATGCAGGCAGAGGAAGGCAGCACTTGGGCCAGGGCTGTATCCTTTAAACCCAGAGTGCTTTTGGCCTCTGTGGTAGTGGGTCAAAAGAGCAGCAAAAGAGGATGGAAGAACAGCGGTTGGTCTCCATGCATCAGTATTATTTCCTCTCCTTGACCTTTTTATTCTTTTTACTGTTTCAGAGCATCACCCGTAAGAGGCGCTACGTTGCTACAGTGTCCCTGCATGATCGGATCTATGTGATTGGGGGGTACGATGGTCGCTCTCGTCTCAGCTCGGTGGAGTGCTTGGATTACACATCTGATGAGGATGGTATCTGGTATTCCGTGGCTCCGATGAACGTACGGCGGGGCCTGGCAGGAGCCACGACCCTTGGAGGTATGTCCTGCTCACCACACTGACAGGGCAGCACAGCTCTGTTCAGTTCTCGTCCTGAAATGCCCTGAGCTGGTATGTGCAGAGTGGGATGGCTCCGAGGGAGGAGGTGAGGCTGAAATTCTGGCTTCTCATCATTTGGATGTAGAAATGGAAAAGTTGCCCACGTATCCTGAGTGGAGCTCTGCCTCCGCTTCATTCTTACAGCATGTGTCTGTGCATCGAGGGAAAGGAGCTCTGTGAGGGATTATGGAGTGGGAAGCTCTCGGGGTGGTGACAGTGTTGCCTGTTCCTGAGCGCAGGACAAGGCAAGGACAAGGACAGGACAAGGACAGCAATACCCACCCAGCGCTGGAGAGAGGCTGAACCCGGAGCACGTGCCGAGGAGGATTCTTAGGACAGACTTGGAAGAAGCAAACTACTGAGCAAACCAGAACGCTTCAGCTTGCTTTTGCTGACAAAGCAAAGGCCAAGAGGGGATACGATTGGTCTCTAGGGGTGTAACTTGCCATGAGAAGGAAATGGGAATATAAGACTTGAATTGAACAAATGGTTATAAACAGGCCAAGGAAACACTGGTGTGGAAATGAGAGGGAGTTCTCTAGCCATTAAAACAGCAGCTACTCTAATGAATATGCTGTGCGTTCATGCTTATATTAGAATATCTTCTTAATAATACTGATTAAATATTCATTTAGATTGTTCTAATGAAAATTCTCTTAAAAATGCAGCTGCTTTGAAGATGACAGATTTGTGAAAGCGTTGCATGAATTAGGTTATCCACTATAAGGGACTGATCTTGATGATCCAGACATGTCTTAGGCTCTTCCTCCCTTTTGCCGCCTGTGTGTTTCCTACCTTGTAAGCATTTGCTCTGGGGAGGCGCTGACAGGATGCTAGCGATAGGCAGGGGTTTGGTAGGTTCTGCAGCATGAAAAAAATAATTGGGATGTTCATATTCTCTTTCATCCATCAGCAAGAAGCAGATTTAAGGGCCAGATGGGATTTGTGTTTGTTTAGTTTGTTGGGTCTGTGAGCAGGCTAATGCAGTGAGCCAGGGTGAGGAGGCTGGCTTTGTCTTGGCTTCGAATGTGCCAAGATCTGTAGCTGTCCCTGTATTTTGCAGTCCATTTTGTAGGCTTGCTCCATCTGTGAGGGCCTTCTTGCTCCATGTGCATGCTTGATACTTGACTTGCTGAGGCCAACCTCTGTCTCACGTTGCAGACATGATCTATGTTTCCGGTGGGTTTGATGGAAGCCGACGTCACACCAGTATGGAACGATACGACCCGAACATTGATCAGTGGAGTATGCTGGGGGACATGCAGACAGCACGGGAAGGAGCGGGGCTTGTCGTAGCTAATGGAGTTATCTACTGCCTCGGTAGGTACCCTTAGGACCTCTAGGCATCCTGCAAATACTTGCTGTTCACAGAGATGGCAGTGCAGCGCTGTCTCTGGGGAGCACGAACTGTGTCATGGCCAGGTTAGAACAGCAGATGTGACTGCACTGCCCTGGGCACTGCACAGCTCTGTCAGCGAGCGCAGGCTGTTCTCACCGCTACCATTGCAATGGCTGAGACTGGAGCTGCCAGGTAACTACAGAAACCTATCAGAAGCAAATTGGGCACAATTAGCCTACATTTGAGGGATGGCGGAAGCACGGGGGGTGAGCAGTGCCAGCTGAGGCTTGCAGGGACTAGCAGTGGCTAAGATGCCCTAGAGATGAAGCAGAGAGCCACGGGGCAGAGGGTGCAACTGCTCCACACAAGGCAGTGTTGGCTGTAGTGCTCCAGAAACGTATCCTGAGCTGTGTGTTCCGGCTCCGTTCTGTAGCCCTCATTTTATTTTCAGAGACCCACGCCAGCTGTGAATACGGTGAGCGTGCTAGAGGGCAAGTCACTCTTGACGACTTCAGTAAGCTTGTTCTGTTGATGCACCTTCTAGGCCCTGGAAAAGGCAGGCCCAGCACCGTGGAAGTCCTGGGAAGTCACGGATACTGGACACTGGGTTATGGGTTTCACTTCCCTCTCCCAAATTCCTCTTCCTCACGCTGTCCCCAGAGTCAGGTGCCAGCACGCTGCTCCTCTACTGAACTGCACAATGAGATTTCTTGGAGTCCTCTTGTGAAACAGCTCTCGGAGACACCCCAGCCTACACTGTGCAGCCTCATAGTGTCAGCTGGCGGCTGCAGCACACGGACCCTCAGCCAGTGCCGGGTCTGGAAGCTGTGCATCTGCTTTAGCAGGACGGCATCAACACTGGCATCAGCATGCTCAGGGGCAGCTCTGGGCAGTGCGGTGCTAACTGGGTTGTACTGGTTTGGAAAGGTGACGCTTTCTCCCAGCACGGCCCTGTGCAGTGCAGGGGCAGCGCTCGCTCTGAGCTGGCTCCAGCCTGACACTGCAAGCTGCAGAGATCCTCTTTGTTCTGCCAGCCCCGGCGTGCTGTGGGCTGTGCTGATTGCAGCGCCGCGCCGTACGAAGGACGAACCAGGCATGTTACTGCTCTCTACACAGAAAACATTTTCTAGAAGTCAGACCCATGGCTTGCTCCTGTATTTTGTTTCAGGTGGCTATGATGGGCTGAACATACTGAATTCTGTAGAGCGTTACGATCCCCACACTGGACACTGGACAAACGTCACCCCGATGGCCACTAAGCGCTCAGGTAAGAGCCCGCAGTGCCTTGAGGTCAAAAAGTTCTGTGCTGCACTGAGGAAGCAGTCACTGCTGGCTTGTCCTGCGGCCCTGGAGGATGTTGACTGGCCCCAGTGGGTGGTTTGACTTTGAGAAGGGATGATTTTAGGACATGCTGACTTAATTCCCCAAGAAAAAGATCAATTTTCACATGCCTGATTTCTCCATCCCATGCTAAGATGTGTATAGAGGAATGGGGGGGGTGGTTATAGGTTACAGGGAGGGAGAGGAAGTCTTGTGTGACTTCCACAACTCGGAACGGTGCACGGCTTGGAGAAGAGCTAGCAAGCAACAAACCACAGACCGTAGTGCAAGGTAATGGGACAGTTTGCTAAGTTGGTGCTTGTCAGCTGCACGGGCTGCGGCAAAGGCAGGGGCGCTCTGGCCGCTGCTCCTTCACACGCACTCCGCTTTGTGAAACGCTGGGCCTGGGCTCCACGGCCGGCGGTAACACAGGGAGCAGCACTGCCACAGCAGTGTCACGCTGCAAGTCGTACACCAATGACTTGAAACATGGTGCACTCACAGAATCCCAGAATCCCAGACTGGCAGGGGTTGGCAGGGCCTTCCGGGGATCACCCAGTGCCACCCCCCTGCCCAAGCAGGCTCACCCAGAGCAGGGGGCACAGGACAGCGTCCAGGCAGGGGTTGGATATCTCCAGAGGAGACTCCACAGCCCCTCAGGCACTTACCCATCAGTTATCCCCCACCAACTCCTGGTTTGTCTTTCCTGCTTGGTGCCCTATCTGAGCTGTAAGGCTGACAGCTGTATCTAGCAGCAGAATATAGTTCAAATCCTGCTTCTGGAGTAACTTTATGTCTCGGCTCACCTTCATTTCTCAAAGGAGTTCTTGTGGGGCTTGTGCAGCTCCTGTGTGCTCAAGCGCTGGGCCTCTGCCATTGCACTGCGCCTCAGGCCGCCGGCCCCAGACCTTAGGGAGCAGCCGTGGCCTTGCTCAGCTGCGTGTGGACGGGCAGGATGCTCGGTGCCTCCACAGCTTTGTGGTTCTCAGTGGAGTAGCTCTGCTCTGCTCACAGGCCCTTTCAAACCCTTTTGAAGT